CAACTTATATCTAACAATGAGGCCCCCTGCACTTTAACATGTTCCAATGAAGACTTGATGGCTGCTACAATAGAGTGAATGTGTGGTGGTGCCCTTATAGCATTGCTTAACCATAGCAACATCCCCAGCATCCTGCTACGAACATCAATTTTATGATTGTGAGTGAGTTACTTCCTGAGTTCACCAGGTGTTTATGGATGGAGGTTTTGGCTGGTTATCTTACTAGAATCCATCAGTGTTTCAAAGTTTTATCACCTTTAATCTTTAATTATGATATAATGAAGTATTTGCAACAAGGCATATATATATATATACAGGAAAAAAAAAGACTGATGTCTCATCTTGCATTACTGGCCCAGCAAACAGAATGGCCCAGTTTTTTTGTTCATAGTATGCATAAAGAATTTTGTCCAATCTGTATTTGTTAAATAGAATTTATCAACGAGAGGTTGCATTTTACGTTAGAGGTGCTATAAACAGAGGGAGTGATAAAGCAAGCCTGCATACACTGCATTTGTAGTATGTCCTAGTGTGCCAAGGATTTATTTTTGGTTGCCACAGGCACATATAGGCTTATGCCATCCAAGCCTCTAATTAAAGACTATCCACAGCAACAGACAAACACCCCAGCCAACATCTACATCAGTGCCAAATATTGCGTAACTCCTACAACTGCATCGTGTTATGGTTGTGCTTTGACATGTTTATTTTCAACATGATGAACTATCAAATTTTAGTAACTAATTTAAAAATAAGTTAAAGTAACACTTTATTTAACATTCACACAGTCAGAAAATAACCATGTTTGATCCATTTGTTTCTGCGTTATGCATGTACAGTCACCATTTTTAAGAATTCAAAAGCTGTCCCAAATCAAAATTCAGTTTAACCTCTTGTACAGTACACGTACCATTAGGAAAGGTTTGCATTTGGCCTATCCCTGATGAATATAAGATGCTCATCACCATATGGAATCTGCAGGTTCTGTCAGGTCAGTGTGTTACTGTTTGAGGTTGTAGTTACTTACACCTGTTTGTTGTTTCCAGCAGGGAGACCACAACAGCTCAGATCATAGTGGGATGGAGCAGGGAGAGAGCAGTACCAAGTCTTCTGAGGTGAGTGTTCTCTCAAGGCCATACATTCTTATGTGTATGTGTATAGAATGTCATACATTTGGGTGTTACTCAGGAACAAATTCTCCCTTCTCACCCATCCACCGGGTCCATTCAACTCTTTGCTGTAATATTTTGATTTGACCTCATCATTAGTAATTGCAATGATGGAAAGCTGCACTGGACAACTGTGTCTCCCTGAGATTCCCTTTATAAACACCTGCAACGTGTCTTTTGAATGAATTTAGTGCTATGTTTACCAGGAGGTGGTTGTGGTGAGTTTGAGGTCGGTGAAAAATCATGGTTTTGGTCACATATAAATCAAAAGGTTTTATCTGAAGTCATTTTTAAAATTTTCTTAACCAAGAGCTCTGAGAGTCGAAAATGTACCATAAAACATTCTAGTCACGCTGGAGTGACAAGTGGAGTTTGTGCTGCAACATAAAACGTTCTGCTGGAAAAAATTACGTCAAATTCAGTGCATCTTCCTCCAACAATATAACCTGGTTCCTCAGAAATATTTCTGTAATCCTGTAATCCAGACAACAAGCTCACTGAAGTAAATGAGGAACAAGCATTCCAGTTCTGTTAATATAAGATAATGATATTATCAAATCCTGTGGACACCATTGAAATGACATAAGTCTGTACAAGACAGGAGTGACCCCATCTCAGTGAAGATT